TGCATCCATGGCCTTTGTGACCTGATCATAAAAGGCAATCAGGTTGGTCTGACATGATCTCCCCCTAATAAATCCATGCTGATTGCCCCTGAGCATCATCTCGGATGCCGGCCCATCACAAATGTGCTCCTTGATGATCTTCTCAAAGAGCTTCCCCAGGATTGAGGTAAGACTGACGGGCCTATAATTGCCCGGGTCCTCCCTTTTCCCTTTTTTGAAGATGGGGACCACATTAGCTACCTTCCAATCGTCTGGCACCTGGCCCAAGCACCACGATCGCTCGTAGAGCCGTGCCAGGGGCCCTGCAATAACCCCAGCCAGCTCCCTCAGCACCCTGGGGTGGAGAGCATCCGGACCCGCTGACTTGAACGCGTCCAGCCCCTCCAGAAGCTCTCTAACCCGGTCCTCCCCAACCTGAGGTCTGAAGGCGATCCCCTCGCGTCCGGCTTCTATCACAGCAGGGAAGTCCCGGTCCCTGCACAAGAAAACGGAGGTGAAGAATTGGTTAAAGAGGTCCGCTTTATCCTCTGACGCAACCACCAGATTGCCCCGCATATCCTGCAGGGGCCCCACATTACCCGGCGCCTTCTTCATCCTCCCAATATATTTGAAAAAGGACTTTTTGTTATCCTTAATCCTGGACGCTAATCCGAGCTCTATCTCCGCCTTGGCCTTCCTAACAGCCCGCCTGCAGGCCCGAGCAGAGGAGGTATACTCCTCTTTGGAGATTACACCCCCCTTCCACCGGGCGTACGCCACCCTTTTGGCAAGCAGGCATTCCCGGACACCCTTGGTGAGCCAGGGGGGCTTTTGGACACTCCTGCCCGCCTTGCTTCTTGTCGGGATGGACACCCCTTGGGCCCCGAGTATCGTTTCCTTAAGGAACGACCACTCCTCTTGGACGCTGAGTTCCTCTGCCCTCAAGGACCCCAGTTCCTCTCCCACTAATCTCCTCATCTCACTGAAGTTGGCCCTCCTGAAGTCTAGGGCCACCACCTTGCTGCGGGCCCTTGACACTCTACGCTGGATGGTGAATTCCAGCACGCGATGATCACTATTGCCCAGGTGGTCAAGAACCTGGAGGCCTCTTACCAGGTCGTCGCCTGCGGCCAGGACCAGGTCCAGCAGAGCATCTCCTCTGGTGGGACTGTGCACCTCCTGAATCAAGTGGAGGTCCTGCAACTCGGCCAAGAACCTCCTGGAGCGGTCCGTCCCGGCTGACTGCTCCTCCCAGCAGATGTCCGGGTAATTAAAATCGCCCATGACAACTACATCCCTTGCTTTTAGTGTCTCTGCAAGCTGGCCTGAAAATTCCCTGTCCAGCTCCTCCTCCTGATTGGGGGGTCTGTAATAGACCCCCACCGTCAAATCCCTCTCGCCTTGCCCCCCCTGGATCTTGACCCAGAGCACTTCAGCTCGCCCTTCCCCTGACCCCATACTGCTGGCAGAGGATGTGTAGTGCTCCTTGACATAAAGTGCCACCCCCCCCCCTTTTCTGCCTTCTCTATCCCGCCTGTACAGCCTATAGCCCCTAATGTTAACTGCCCAGTCATGGGATGAGTCCCACCATGTCTCTGTTAACCCTACGACATCTGGATTTGAACTAGCTATTCTGAGGGCGAGTTCCTCCTGTTTGTTCCCCATGCTACGAGCATTGGTGTACAGGCATTTAAGGCCTTGCAAGACTGTGTGCCCCCCCACCCCCTGATTAGCCAGACCATCAGGACCCCTGTTACTTACCTTTGCACCCCTTGCCCTGATGGCAAGACCCCCATTACTTACCTTTGCACCCCTTGTAAGTATCTTGACAAAAAATATATCTATTATAGCAAAATAGCATCTAATACATTGGGTTACATCAGTCACTACAACTATTTGAAAATAAAGCTATGATATAGTATATTTGGATTATTTAATGTATGGTCTACCTTAAAATGTCTCCTTTCAGGCCTTGTGTTTTGTTTAATTGCACCTTATTACTGGTTTAGTTAAGACATGCTGATGACTTCCTTTACTTGGCCGACCAAGCTAGTTGTCACATCTACAAAGGTTCATGCTGTGGTCACACAGAAACAAACTTTGGGGCCTTCTGCTGAGCCACACTTCTGCAGCTTGGCCTAGGCCCCTTGAAAATGGCTAAGGCTAGCAACAGTCATCAGGGCCCTAAAATGTCTCTGCAATGTCCTGCTTCTCTCTGTGTCAAATAATTATTCTCCTGTAGCTTTGGGCCATAGCTATTTGATACAAAGTAATTGATGGCTCAGAAATCACTTGTGTTTGCCCATTAATTTGTAGACAGTATGGATCTGGGACAGGCAATAATTCTGGACCAACAACTGCTTGTATGCAAGCCTCTCCTTTTAGCAATCAATCAGTCTCTGTTAAAAGCACACTGCATACCTACAGTTAGTGTACGCCCATTGCTTTAAAAAGGTAGATTGCACTCATTACAAATAGAAATGTTTCCACAAGAAAGGAAGCACACAGGGACAAATATGTTCACAAGCACCCTTGCCAGTTTTGCAAAAGGCAAGCAGTTAGTTCTCACAGACAAGCCCTCTGCACTTTCTGTGCACCACCTTAACACAGGGCAGGGAGGTGGCTGCCATGCAGATCTGTCCTGCTGTTCTGGAAAAGATCATGTCAGAGTATGTCCAATACCCGCTGGAACTGGCCTTCTACAGTGTGCAACTCTAGTCATGGTCATTTAGTGTGGTGGGGACATAAGCTTATGTAGCCCACTGGGTTAAGATCTACAGAAACATCTCTTGTTTTCTTGAATGCCTGTTAATACTGCCTGCAGATGGGATGGGGCCTGCAGGTGGGTGGGGAGCAGCATCCAGGAGCGGGATGGGCAGGCGTGGCCATGGCCATGGCTGGGATCAGGATCGGGATCATGGGGCAGTGACAGCATGGGGATGGGTCCCAGGGCAGAGCCACAATCCGCTGCCCACATGCCCCTGCAACGGGTGCTGGCTCCACAGGCAGGGGCCTGCTGGGAGCGGATCGTGGCCCTGCCCCAGGCTCCAGCTATCATGGCCCCGCAATTCCAATCCCAGCCTTGGCCTCGGCTTGGCCTGGCACTTCCCACTCCTGGATGCTGCTCCCTGCCTGCCTGCAGCCCCATCCCATGCGTCTGGCCATGCAGCCTGCCTGCGCAAGGTCCTGCCCAGTCTTCAAGGAGACCCCAGAATCACCACCTGTGACAGCACAGGGCTGGGGCCTGGGGCAGAGATGAGATCTGTATCCTTCATGCCATCAGATCCAGTGGCCATCACAAGGGCATGTGGGGAACAGATTGTGGCTCTGCCCTGGGTCCCAGCCCTATGCTGTCATCATCCAGCAGTCCCAATTCCAGCCCCAGCCCCACCTGCCCGCCCCACTCCCGGATATTTAGGGAGTTTGGGTGAGCTGTTGGGGGGCAGAGGGGTGCTGACAACTCACCCAAACTCCCTAAGTGGCCCTCTGGCACAAATAATTGCCTACCCCTATCCTAGACCATCCCTGATCAATGCTTGTCCAACCTCTTCTTGCACACCTCCAATGATGGAGATTGCACAGCTTCCCTAGGCAGTCTATTCCATTACCTCCCTGCTCTAACCATGAAGAAATGTTTCCCTATATCCAGTCTACTCTGCCCTAACTTCAAGCCAATGATCTGCACTCGCTCTCTGCAGCAATAGGAAACGTTTTTTTCCCTCTTCTTTATGGTGACCCTTCAGATATTTGAAGATTTCTATCGTGTCCTTCCTTCAGATATTTGAAGATTTCTATCACGTTTTTCCTCTTAAGTGCCTTTCCTGCAAGCTGAACATGCCTTTTTTTCCTTCAGTCTTTCCTCATATGTCTTGTCTTCCAAGCCCTTTATCATTTTGGTCGCCTGCCAAAACAGGGAGCCTAAAACTGCCAAGTAAAGAGCAGAGACACTATCAGATCCTGTGTCTGGCACCTAATGCTTCTTTACTTCTCCATGTGTCTCTCTTCCTTCCCACATGCTTTTCCACCTGGGAAAACAGTGAAGTGCAGTGGCTCTGGTGGGTTTTTTGCGTTCACACGCTTGGCTCCCTACCTGGAGACGTTTCCCTTACACTGTAGGGGCGGGCAATTATTTTGGGCAGAGGGCCGCTTACTGAGTTTTGGCAAGCCATCGAGGGCTGCATGACAGGCAGCCAGGGGCAGATAAATATTAATTGTCTACATTTTTAGGGGCCCCGCAGAATGGATTTTGCCCACCCCTGCCTTACAGCGAGCCCAGGCTCCTGGCGGACAAAGCCGGTCTTCTACAGGCCGACTTAACCAGGGCGGGGATCATCCGCGGAGCAGCGTTGCCATCTACTGCCAAAATGCCAGCAGGGGCTGGGAAGCCGCTGCCAGGGAAAGCTGGCGGGGCACTGCCCATCCTTCCGTCCAGCGCCCGCTCCTCCTCCTGACCCCCGCCCTGCTCGCTGGGGCGCCTTCTCCCCCTTGCCCTCCCCCTGTGGTCCAGAACCGCAGGCAAACAACTTCCCTCCGGGGCGCCTGCCCGGCGCTGACTGGCGCTGACAGGTGGGCGGGCGCTGCCCGCTGGGCCCCGGGACCCCCCCTCCCCCAGCCGGGCCTTCGCTCCCTCCCCGGGCGCCCGGAGCCCCAGCCAGCGCCACTGCTGCGCCCCCGCCCGGCTCTTTGCAGCCTCGCGACGGGACCCGCAGAGGCCTGGAAAATGTGCGCGTTGGAAACTCCCGCGAGGGTGGCCATCCTAGAGGACAGTCCGGTTTTCTGCTACTCTGTCCTTTGTTAATACGAAACTCTGCACCTTTATGTGCTCTGTTTTTCTCTTCAAGTAGGGTGGCCATCATAGAGGACGGTCCAGTTGTCCTCTGTCGACACACGACACCCAACGCCTTAGTGTCCTCTGTTTTTTCTCTTGGAAAAATAATCTTAATTTCCAGGTTTGACTTGGGTGTCTGGCAATATAAGCAAACATCCCGTATCATTGGAAAATAGAGACTGCCATTTCTAAAATGGGGTTTCCCTTCCCCCTGAAACATGTCTGCTCCATCCAGAAACACAACTGTACATGTTTTGTGAGCACAAAACTCTCGGAGAGAAAAATAGAGGACGTAAAGGTGTCCGGTTTCATATCGACAGAGGACAGAGTAGCCAACAACCAGAACGCCCCCTATGATGGCCACTCTAGCTCCAGCCTTGCCAGGCGAGCGCGCTGCCGAGCACGGGGCCCTGCCTGCCCACCGGCACACCAAGCCGGAGCAGTCTCTGGCGCAGCCCCAGCAGGACCCATGGGAATGGTCACCGCCCTTTAGCAAGACTCCACTGTGACATGTGCCGACCGCCCTGCAGTCATCTGGCCCTGGCTGTGACCCTAGCCCTGGCTCTGGCCCTGGCCCTGCTGAGGAGGCTCAGGAAACTGCCATGGGAATGTGGGAATTTGCCTACCCAAGCATCAGCTCTGATTATTTACAGCTCTCCTGCCTTCAGGAAACAGCTGGAAAGGTGGAAAGAGAGATGAAGTTGGGTTTTGGTTTGCTGAAGAGGGTACATAGCAAGGGGCCAATCCTGAGTCTGTCCTGGAATATTGCAGAGGTCTCTTTTTGGGGCTGGACTTTGTGATTTAGCAAGGCAGGATAGATTTGCACCTTATAGATTAGCTAAACCAGAGATGCAGAAGCTTGTGTAAGTAACAGCTTGCTTCATCAGATGCTATGACAAAGACAGTCCCTTCATAGCTTCTAGTGAAGTTAGCTGTTGCTTATGAAAGCTCATGCATTTCTGCTGTAGTTAGTCAGAGAGAGGTAATGGATTTGTTCTGAATCAGTACAAAACCCTGCAAATTACACTGCAGCCTGGAGAGGCACTGGTAGAGCTCTCTACCCTTCTGCTTGGTGAGCAAGGTAGCTTTCCAGCTGTGAGTGTTTTCTTCATAATTACCACCCACAGTGGCCTCTGCCTGGGTACCCTAAAACCGTGGTTCTCAACCTTTTTTTGTACCAGGACCCATTTGTAAACATTGATGGCCAATCTTGACCCAGTGCCCCCCACCCCCGCACCCAGCCCCCAGTGTGTGGGGTAGGTGGTGTGTTTGGGGCATGGGAGTCTCAAGCAGCCCCTTGCAGGCTTGAACTCTGCCAGCCCGCAAGGGAAAAGCTGTGGTTTCCCAAGTTTTTTTCCTTTAAAGTAGAATCCATTTTTAAAGTGTGTTGATCCATTTTTAAAGTTTGTTCACAACCCTTTCACATATTCTTGTGGCCCACCTTTGAGTCGCAACCCACAAGTTGAGAAATGCTGCTCTAAAGCACTCTGGTAGGTGTTGCAACTATACTCCAGTGAGCAGTTATGCTTAGTAAGGGCCACTGCAGCCTTGCAGGACAAGCAATGTGATTACTTCACTTCCAGAATCATGGGCCCTGTGCTTCCAAGAGCTGCTTTAGATTATGGACCTAGCAGAAGCTCTAGCCACATCCTTTTACCAGGATAAAACCATATTTTCTGGTTTAATTTCCTGAATCTATGCCTGTTTCCTGCATGCCTGGAACACAGTCTCTTTTCCCATCTCTTTC